CACACAAGGTTTGAGGACCCTCGTAGCCCGATAACTAGGAGATTGATCTCAGAACTTCGGACACAAACCCGATACTACAACATAGCTGCCACGTGGGATTTAAACATAGATAAATGACAACGGTCTACAGAGTACAATGTATGGAATGAGAGCGCGACGGGAAATCAATAGCCCCACTTGATGCCCCGGTCACGGCTGTGAATGGCGATCTCTGACACCCCCCGCTCGTATCCTGAATTAGCATGGGCGAAGCAATGTGGCTATGAGAATTTAAACAACCCTCCCCTAACTATCAAGGGCTAGAGCATGTACACCGTATGTACCTAAACTCTGTTAAAGCCCGAATTTAACCTTTCATTTGCCGGAGTGTTTACGTTGACATCATTGGATTAAGGTCATTGTGGCCTGGTCGGATTTAGGATTCCTCAACGGGTCACGAAAATGGGGCACAGGGATCTCTCATCCTTTAATCTCGGATTATGTACGGATGAACCAGGGCTAGAGTAGGGGTTTGATGGATATTTAATCGGTTTATACGGGTACTTGGGTATCGAAATCACAGTGCTCTATACAAATGGAAATTTCTGCGAAATGTATTCAAATGTATTTGAACAAAATGAACGCCGAATCCAAGTACTATGTTGTACATTCGATATGCACTGACCACTGCTTGAAGCATTTGTTCAGATGGGGCAGTGGAGGGAGACTTGGCTAAGTTGGAAAGGGACGCCCGAACAAAATATTCCAAATAATCAACTAGTTAGTTCTGCCAACTGCCAAACATTACATATGAAAGGGAGTGTCGTTGGTGCATCACACTGGTTATTCCCTACAAATCGTATTGCTGTTGTGTAGGAAATGGATAGGCACCTGTATGGTATTGGCCCCCACGTGCTAAGGCCCCAGCTTCCCGATGGAAGACTCCGTGCAATTTCCGTGGGTCTCGTTTCCTTCGAGAAAGATATAATATTAGGGTTCTTCACCCAGTTATTAGCTGACGAGAATGGTGACAAAAACTAATACGCCCTGCAGAATGTGTGTAGGTAAAGGGGGAGTAAAAAGTACGAGTTGTACCTCGAAGCCCCCGGGTGTGTGCCCAAGCTCGGACTGGGGACTCCATGAGAGACAAGGGAGATCACTCATTGGTCAGAGCGTATACGCAGGTGTGGGGTAAGGTGGGTCTCATCCGAATGTGTTGAGCCTCTCTTCAACGAGTTGGACGGGAGTCGATCAACCATTTCGGGTGCAGATCGACCTTCGGAAGCTGTGCACCCGCACCTTTTGTCTTTTTTTTTATTTTTAATTTCTTTCACTTTTTCACTTTTTTATTTTTAAAACCTGGGTGTACACCAACCAATCATAAATTTTTCTTGGTGTTGGTTACTCTGAATTTCAACTCAGCCTGCCCGGGTTGCTGCAACTATATCATGCCACCCGCCCTACACCGCAATGATCCACGTGCAATATGCCAAAAATAAGACTCACAGAGAGCCTGGGCATCTTTAACCTGACAGTGATGAACATCCTAATACCCCCCCATAAGGGAAACGAAGCGCAAACGCCCGGTGATGGGGGTTCATTTTTGATCGGCATCAAATCTATCATCAGGGCTACCGATCGCCCCACTGTCAAAACCAAACCCTCCCTTTCAATCCCTGTAGTTTGGAGTGGAATTTGGTTTAAATTTCCTAATGGATAAAACTTGATTCCTATAAAAACTACAACACCAACACAGAGATAAGTATTCGACATTGCAACAAAGCACTTTTGAGGTGGCTGCATTGACCCATAAACGCCCTAGTGGGGGCATATAATCCGCCAATAGGATGAAACTTTGTAAGATGTGCAGTTGAACTACTCCGGACGTGGGTGACCGATCCAGGAGGCTGAGGCTCTGATCGACTGAGAGATGATGATCCCCGTCATTATCGTAAAATCACCGAACGTGTCTCTATTCGTTTCTGGCCCGAAACATCCCTGCTAGGTAAAAATGATAATCACTAGGCTTTCTTTGGGTCGTTTCAGGCGTTTTCTGGACGGACTAATTAGTATTAGCTTGGTTCTTGATTATATTATTAATTAGGCACCCGATCGGCGTCCTGTAGGAGTTGAGAGATACGACCGAGACTGTCCGACATACCCACTCCCCCATAGAGCTGTCGACACTAATAAGGAAAGTCCTTATTAACCTGCTTTCCCCTGTTTCTTTTCCATGTTGTATATCTTTGTGTTATCTCCCCACTCGAGCTCGCACCACTTTTACAACGTCTAAACGTGCCGTGTAACTTTGTCCCGAATGGCATATTGAGCCGCATTACCCATACAGTATATTTCCGTCACATACCTACAATATGTCCACTTTCAACACATATACAGACCCCATTCTGCCGCCATTTGACATCGAATGTGCTGCTCCCATGCCCTCAACACTGGCCAACCTCAACAATGCAAGCCAAGCGGAGTCCTACCTTAATCCTCCTGTGAATATTTCTTCGCCTTCCCAAACAAACTCCCACCGAGTCAGCAAAGCTATGAAGGGCAAGCGAGTCCATGCATGCGAGCGCCCCGGATGTCCGAAGGTGAGTACCCTTGGGATATTATCGATGAATCATTTCGCTTACCACCGTCATACAGGTTTTTACCAGAGCCGAGCACCGCAGACGACATGAGCTCAGTCATGAGCCTAGAAAGCAATACCCTTGCACATACGAAGGGTGCAAAAAGGCATTCCATCGCCCGGATTACTTGAATCAGCATTTGGGTCGGCAGTGAGTAACCCATAACGATTAGAAGAGATTGAATCCAAAGACTGACCCGAAGAAAAGTGCGAATTCAGCACCAAAGGGAAATACATCACACGCTCGAAGCAACACTTCAAATCGTCGGTCAAGCCTACAACAACAGATGCAGTCGCAACCAGCCAACTCACCTCCCATTTCATTCCAAGCGGATCCCACCGACAATTATTCTCGCGTGTGGGGAAGCATGGATTCCTCAATGTCATGTCCCCAGTATGCCAGGGGCCAGAGCCAGTCCTCCGCATCCGTTGATGACTACCCTTCCCCATATTCCTATACGAACGATATCTGCAGCTCACCCGTCGCGAGCGACTCCTTTGCGAACCCTCAATACCCCACATCTGGTATGCCGGTGGAAATGGTGACTGCCATCGATCAATACCTGCGGAGCATCTTGAAGCCTGAAGCCTTTTCGTCGCCCCACCAGCAGATGAATCCCACCATTTGGAACTCGGATGTTGAGATCGATCCTACGTTGACAAAGATCGAGAGTCCGGTGAGTGGAAACCAGGAAACCGTTCGGAGCAAAAAAAAGAACAAATTCTAATTCTTGTTTCAGGACCAACTACCACTCTATTCATGGCCTCCTACCCACCACTTGCAATACGAGGATCATCCAGTGCAGATGAACCACCCATCGGACAACCGCTGAGAACTATTTGTGACGACGGTTGATTCGCCTACTTTGGACTTGTGATTTGCTTTAGCGTTTTCATCCCTCTCTTACATCCTCTTGCTTGCTCTTTTGCAAACTCCATACTCTTTCAAGGATCATGATCTCTTGATACCTGCGCTCCGCCTTTTGGAGGGGCATTTATACCATTCCTTTACTTATGATACCATGACAATCTGTCGTTTTGAAATTTGTTTTAATCAATTTGAGCTACCTTGCCTCAAGAATGTGCTCAAGAAGACGCATTACCCGCACGTTGTTCGGGCGTCACGATTTCGGGGTTTCAGTCTATTTGTGGAGGTTGTGTTATTATTAATTACTTACGATACCCATGAGAATAAACAACAATTCCCACATACAGCCCTTGCAACACGTAATTATTGTTATAGTGTATACATTGATGTAGGCCGCCCAAAAATCTAGTCCACATGTTAGGCTCGGGGTAAAAAAGGGTCCCGTGAAACGATCTGCAAGGCGTACAGCCTTACAGCCTCGGACGTTGGATTTATCATCTATTATTAGATGTACAAACGACATTCCCGAAACCGTGCTATTGAGCCGCCACAGGGTTGTCACATGACAGGTTTGGGTTGCCGTGAACCGGCTGTGATACCCCTTGCACATGATGTGCCTCTTTGTGTTGGTTTTGGTGCCTCGAAAAGGCAGCCGGGCGAAGCGCCTGCTTGTGCCACCCAACAGCGCCTACCATCGGCGCCTACCGACGAGCTTAGCACACCGCTTCGTTGAAAATTGTAACACTTTATCTGCTTTTTCTTGGTTTTCCGAAGAGGATGTCGAGTGATTTAGATCTCGTTTGTGCTACTACAAACTGAGTACCCTGTAAATGTCTTACGTTGAACCAAAGCCATGGGCTCGCTAATTTTCCAGTTTTTCGAGTAGTCTTGACACTCGAAGCATTGTATTCATAGATCATAGTCCCTCCAGACTTTGCAATTTTTGAGAATGCGTGCTTTAAACTGATTATACGTCAAAGGTAGTAAGTACCCCACAAATAGTCCCCTGCTTCAATTTTGTCAGAAAATAGAAATAAATTGCACAGTGGATTTCTTAGCTGTAATTCTAGTATCCTTTTCGATGTCATACCTCGTGTCAATAGCAGGTTGTGTGAAGGGCGGATCACCCGCACAGGCATCAAATCGAACCTCGGTCCAGATGCGGGAGCCTATATAAGGTTCTTGCTCTAATTCCGTGGTTTCGGTCCACGTGCGAATCTTCAAAGATACCTAGGTAGGCGTCGGTTTGACAGCTCCAAATGATTTGAAGTCCCGGACTAGCAAATGCGGGTGTATCAGCTTCATCGTATATCGAATTCTTTCTATTCTCTTGTATAAGAATGGAAGCAAGACTGCGAGAGAAAAGAAATTCAGTGAAGGCATCAGCGCCCGGAACTCTACGCTCCGGGCCGATCTCTGCCTGGAGCGAATTATCTATTTAAGTGTGCTCCATGTCCAGCTTAACCAAGGGTACAGTTACTCACAAAATCTTAATCTCAACAATTCGAAATTACCATGGGAATACTCAAAATCACTGTCGATGGCTCATCCGTCATCACCCACCGACCCGAACGAGGTGTTTTGAACCTCACAGTGAACGCCAAAGGAAGCACACGCGAAATTGTTTCCCACAAGGTGTCAGAAACTACCAATGAGCTTAACCAGATTTTCAAAGAACTCTCTCCCAAGACAGAGTCTGGAGATCCAACTGCAGATGCGGCTGTGGTGACTTATTCATCTACTTCTCTCCGCACATGGAGCTGGAACATCCAGAATGAACAGAGTCTCTTCAAAGTCCCCGAATACCACGGCAATCTTTCTTTTGTTGCTGTGTTCCGCGACTTTACCAAAATGAGTGAAGTTGCCGGGAAGCTTGTAGCATATCCAGATGTCGACATCAACTCGATAGACTGGGAGCTAACAGCCGCCACCAAAAAAGCACTAAGCTCGGAGTCGCACAAGGAGGCTATCCGCGACGCCATCCAAAAGGCAAATGACTACACCGACGTAATTGCCCGCAAGGTGGCCGTGGTCGAGATACAGCATGGAGGGAATTCCTCTTTTGCCATGTCGGCACGAACTACCCCGGGTCCTTTCGCTGGAGGTGGAGGGGGCCTCTTTGGTGGTGGGCCATCCTTTGGACAGCCATCTGGAGGAGCCTCAGGTTCAGGTCTCTTTGGTGCTGCTGCTAACCATACCCCTCCTCCCGCTGCACCGTTCGATCTCACCCCACAGGAGATTCAATATACTAGTTCCGTGCAGGTCAGATTTGAGTCAGACCCGAATGAATGAACCGCAATGTTATGCTGTGCGTCAAAGTATGGTAACACAACACCTTCTCTTTCGCGCCTCTGTCATTTCGGTATTGTGCCACTTCGATCAGTGCTTTTCAGAATATGCCGCCTGCACCAGATTCTATGTACGCTTCTCTGCTTCCAACTATATTCGGATTTTATATAGTGTCGCCTGATGCATTGCCGATACACATATTTCTCCGAGAACGACAACGTCTATCTCCATAGAAGGTGACATTTGTTATAAACCATAAAGCTTCCGTGTTTGAATTTCAATGATAACCTCGGCCCTTTTCTTAGATAGTAAACATATTCGAAAGTGCATATTCGACATTCGGAACTTGCTCAATAAACTCCATAGTCAATATCCAGGCAGGCAAACGTCTATTCATTACATGAGCCGATGTTATTATAGATCCCCAAGCAAATTAAGTGTATCTAGCCCTAGACTCTCACAAAACACCTCCATGCCAGTAGGCACCTTTTTACAGGGTACGCTCCATGATAGGTCCATCATAGACCTTTCTCGCACGAGCATAGTAGTAGAAAAGACTGAGCATGATGGTACCCATCGTCCCAACGACACTAAAGTTCATAGTTTGAACAGTGACCACCCAAGACGGTGGCCAAAAGCTAAAGAAGACAGCAATGGTCATATAAATCAAAGCCCAGGTATTGATAAGAATACCGAAAATTCCTGGCACATGGAATGGGCCCCAGACGAGCTTCGCGCCGGCGGTGTTGATGATAGCGGAATCGCTACTGCGAACAGAGCTGATCCCGCCCGTGCAACGACGCCAGAGAAGAAGACCCCCAACCACCATGTACGACAGGTAGAGACCGGAGATCGACATGGAGCAGAGATCGTTGAAGGCGACCGAGGAGCCAATGTTGATGAGCGCGAGGAGACATGCAATCACGGATGTCATCAAAACGGAGTATAAGGGGACGGCAGAGCGCTCGGTGACCTGTGGTTTCACGATTAGACCAAAGATCCTGATCAGGGGGTTGGTGTTAGAAGAGCAACTTACCTGGCTCCACAATCGCCAGCCCGGAATTCCACGGTCTCTAGCGAAGGACCAGAACTGGCGCGATGTGGACGCCAACATGCCGACTGATGTGGTGGCGCCCATGGTGGTAACGATCGAGCCCATCATTGCTGTTCCAGCTATGGATCCTGTCGCCTCCAAAAAGATTGCCAGGAAGGGGTACCCAGTGGGTGATTCCAGGGCGGATCCAAGATCCCCGCTACAGAACAGCATGGCAATCAACATGCCGAAACCTAAGGATCCATTGATCAAGACACTTAGCATGATCGAAGTTGGGACGGCGACGGCGGCGTTTGTGATTTCTTCTGACATCTAAAGAGTTTTAATTCGGATTAGTCCTCGCCTCGATGTTCGAGTAGTTCTCAGGAGACGAATCGACGCACATGAACCGCGGCATCACCACCGGCAAACGCAAAGATGCAGCCAACCATTCCTACAAAGAATGACAGTCCTTGGGACGGGAACTCCCCCATGTTGAGAAACTGGGTAAAGACCTCCTTGGAGGTTCCATGATCGGCCATGTAAGTTAAGGGGATGAGAATGGCGAAGAAGCCAAGAATGTGGAGGATCAAGATCATGCCCTCAAATCGAGGAAGCACTTTGCCGCCAACACTGTTTATGGCGACCGAAAATGCCACAACCGCCCAGAATATAAGCGTTCCATGCCAGTTTTGGGGCTCATATTTACTGTTCGTGAGCACGACCAGGCCTTGAATCAAGGTGCCGACCAAATAGCATGAGGTTGCAAACGTGGCTTGCCACCCGATAACTGTAAGCCAACCTGTGAAATGTATTAGCTTTTTATTTTTGGATGGCTCCAGAGATCGTGTACCCACCTGTCAGGTAGCTCATGAGTTTCATGCACGATCGCGGTGCTAGCATGGATGTCCAATGATACTGGCCTCCAGATGTCGGTGCCCTATTTGACCGGTTAGTTTTTGATAAATATGACAGAGACAATGTGTTCCGTACATTGATGCCAACTCCGATAGAACCACAAAGGTACCTGCGACACCAGCCCAAACAAAAAGGAAGCCATAAACGGCTCCAGCTGGACCTCCACTGTGTAACTTCTGTTAGTACTGCGGGGTTGATCACTTCTTCACGTCTCTTACTTTTGGTATGCTTGCAAGAATAACCTATATCACAGTCGTCAGGTAACGCTTTCTTCAGCTTATTTCTTATCGCCAAGAGCACTTACACGACAATTCCCTCCCAGGTAATCAGAATTGTACAACTGAAACCCAGCATTGACATCAACCCGAAATTGCGCTGTTATTGTTAACCCATATCTCTCAAATAGCATTTAAAACATACTTTCAAGACAGGACGTTTTCCCATGCGCGCGAGATTGACATCATCCAGCTCGTTCCTTGATAATTGGCCAATCTCCTCTCCTCCCGCCGAAGACATTTGCTTCGAAAATTGAGACCGCATAATGGAGGAGTGCTTGCCGACAAGAAAACAAGAACTAAAATCGAAATACTAAAGAAGAATAATCACATTATACATTATATCACAGAAGTTCCAGGGGCCAAAGAAAAAAAGAGTTGAAATTAGTGGGGGGGACACGATTAAGCGCTAATACAGCAAGGGCAGGGATATGGACAACTAGAAATGTCTATCGATATTGCCAAGCAGTAATTGCCAAGCAGTACGGAGGGATTTATACTGTTATTCTGTCTCACTTTCAACATTTCCAAGGATTCTAAGTTTTACAAAAGAACAGACACTACTCCTTATAAGGTTGCAGTATAAGCAACGATTCTAATAACATTTATGTGATCCCTTATAACTATAGACTCAATAGTACACATACAAGTAGTATAATATCTAACATATACAACTGAAATTGAAATTGACATTGAAATTAGTATATACCTTTAAGAAGGCCATTTCCAATGAGAGAGTTACTTAGTCGCCCGTACAGGGGTTGAGAGCTGAGGAACTTGGGCATTGTCATGAATCATGGTGGATCATATTATAAGGCCAATCTTACCAGGAGCCCTAGTCATAAGACCGAACGGTAAAGGTGTAAATCTCCGAGTGGCAGAGTGAAAACCGACTAATTAATTAAGTTTGTATATACACTACTCCATTTATATTGTAGTGGATCTTCGGCACACACGCCGTACCCCTACAGAAGATTGTCATTCGTGGAAGACTACGGGAAAATCCTAATTTCTCGACTAAGTGGACCGAAAAGCATCCTTTTGAAACATTGAATCAATTTGGCAATCCTTCAGTCACCGTCCACGTCCGTGTCTCCATAATCATATTAGACCGACTGGATTGGCTTTCGGCATCCTCATCTGGAGCGGAGGTCACCATCGTCTGATTATTCGCTTCGTTCCCTTCGTGGGGCACTGAAACTAATTCATGAGTCTCACTTCGAGTATCCGCAGTGCGACGGAAGGTTTTCAATGTGGTCATGCCATATGTCTTGTGTTTGCTGCCGTAATTGTTGGAGCTCGTCAACCCCAATCCCATTCCCGATGACTGGAGACTATCCAAGAAAGGCTTGAACTGGGGGGGAGCAGGCTGTGACGATACTCACGGTTTGAGCCACTTGAGTAGAAATCGCGACGGCCCAGGAATCATAGGTGAAATCGCCCCTAGCGGTTTGCCTGGCGTAAACGAGTTGGAAAATAATCGAGATAATTACGCTGCGAGTACCATCTTTGTTAGTGGATGATTCTCTCAAACGGAGTCTGGTCTTGACACCTACATGACTCGGATCAAGAATACACTGGACAACCCAGCCTTTCTGCTGAAATCGGTCTGGATACGAACGATAACCAACAGCGCTTGGCCTATTATTCCGCCCTCTGACAAGATGTTTGTGATGCCAAGATACTTCCACCACGCACTCTGGTACATGATCAGCTGTCAGCCATTTCTCTAATGAAGGAGGGACCAGCCACTCAGCCACTCACTCGATCGAAACATGTCCCTTGTAGATAATTCCAGATCTGTGGTATATTACATTGAAATATCGCCGTAAGAATACTGGCAATAGTCCACAGCCCAATAAATATTCCCAACACGAGGGCGAAGCGACGATCCAAGGATGCGGGAGTCAAGTTGCGAACGAAGACCAACAGCGATAGTTTGGAGAAGCAAATGCTGGCGATGAATAGGATGGTTGCGGAGTATTCAGCCTTGGGTTTGATCCATTAGCAATGGTTGAATCAAAAGGCGATACTCATCCATACCTTCAAGATGATTTCAATTTTGTGTTCGGATAGCATTTCAACATGCTGTCCAAGTCCATTGCCTGTGGCCACCGAGACGGCAATTGACTGCGCGATGCAGAATACCACAGATGCGGTTGCAAGGCCATCGTCAAATGTCCACTTCCGGAAAATGAAATATTTGGTCCCTAGACGAGTCAATACGCTCAGAATAGTCGTCACCAGCATGAACCAGGTCAAGACATTGATAGCAGGAGTCCAGGTGTTTTTCAACTCTGGGGGCATGGCGACGGAATCCAAGAGGAAGAATGCACAACGAAAAAGGCTCGAGCCATACGAATCTGGGTACTTGGGCAGTCATCGAATGTGTAATACCCTTAGCTCTACCTAAGGATTTTTGTGGGAACCGCCGGATCCAACAAGGCCTCGTAGATCATGATACAAAACTCAATCCACATGCAGTTAATCAAAGGTCCTTGAAAATGTTAGTTATATTGCACCAGTAGGGTTGCAGTAGGGCATAACGGGGCATAGCAGGGCATACAGAGCATTGTATAGCAGGGGTGGGGTGTTAAAAAGTTGGATTGCCACGAGGCCACGTTATTCGTGTGGAAACTGAATCACTCTCCACTTCAATGTGAACCCTGCCGATCAAATTGCGTAAGTCCAATTAGGATAAATTCAAAACTTAATGAATTTCTTAGCCCCTGTTATATGGTCCATGCAATCTGTCTGGAACTAGTGTGTTTCTTGGCTCCGGTCTGAGTTCATAGGGACCCTCAATAGGGGACACAAAAATTACTCGATAATATGTGTCGATTATGCGACCTGGAGATGTCTTGAAATATAGGGAAATAATAGGAGTGGTAGAGAGGAGGAGAGGAGGGGTCGATTATATAGTAAAATGGCTTTAACGCCGAGAAATATGTATAGACTAGGTGCTAAACCAGGTTGGTAAACCAGGTTGGTAAAATAGGTGACTATGTTGTAGGTAGTTGTTGCAAGGTGTCACATGACCTTGCATGTTTGCTCCCAGCTACTTGGTCCCCACAACAGTAGTTTAGATAGTTCTTCTCTTCTTCTCCTCTCTGCGCAATAGACAGTTTCCAGTTCCACCTGTATCTTCTGTCTAAGATTAGTAAACCTGGTTAGTAAACAAGGTCCTGAACTAGGGTGCTAAGCAGGTGCTAAGCAGGTGCTAAACAGGTGCTTAACAGGTGCTAAATAGGTGCTAAACAGGTGCTAAACAGGTACTAAGCAGGTACTAAAGTAGGCCAGCTAACGCTAAGCAACAGAAGTTAGGGATCCGAGGAGCGCTAAAGCTCCCTGGTATTGCTGATATGGATAGAGAGAGAGAGAGTGGATTAGAACTTGTCAAAGATGAACAAACTGCAGTTTCACCTGATCGTCAGTTGCTCGTCGGTTTTGCTGATTTCCAACCCGTTTGCCAGCGTTCCCTTACCTTAACCTGTGTTCCCTTGTTCTCTTCCTGATCGCTTCTCATCTTCTTTTCGATCGAATCCATATCTTCTCATTTATCCTCATCGCACCTTCATCAATATCATTATTATCATCGCATTCATCGCCCCGCTTACTAACGACAAACAAAATGTCGTCCCCTGCCAAGCTGGACTCCCAGCTTGCTGAGCTGAAGCCGGCAGAGGCTAGACTTCTCCTCTGTTCTACCGTGTGCAGCGATGGCAAGGTCAGTTTCCCAGCATACCCTCTACATTCTTAGCCCAGTCCAGTCAAGATCTAATACCATTCACCTGATAGATCGACTTCAAGAAGCTCGCCGCCATGACTGCCATGAAGAAGAATTCTGCTAATACCAACTACTTGCGTGCCAAGAAACACCTGGAGCAGATCATGAACGGAAATCCCCTGTCTCCCACCCAAGCTGCCGGTTCCCAGTCTGAACAAGACGGTGACGCTGGTGCACCTGACGCTGATGCACCTGGCGCTGATGCACCCAAGGCTGGCCGTTCTGGCAAGCGCGGTGCGGCCAAAGACGCCTCGACCAAGAACTCTGAGCCTGCCAAGCGTCGCAAGACTGAGTCCAAGCCTGAGTCCAAGACTGTTTCTGAACCGGCCAAGACCAAGCCTGAGTCCAAGACCAAGCCTGAGTCCAAGACCAAGCCTGAGTCCAAGACCAAGCCTGAGTCCAAGACCAAGCCTGAGTCCAAGACCAAGCCTGAGTCCAAGACCAAGCCTGAGTCCAAGACCAAGCCTGAGTCCAAGACCAAGCCTGAGTCCAAGACCAAGCCTGAGTCCAAGACTGTCTCTGGACTGGCCAAGTCCACTCAGACAAAGGACACCGCTGAGACTTCCACTGCCGGCACTGCTGCCCAGACTAAGTAGATCGCTATCTACTTCAGTCGTCGCTACATCAGCGATATGGTCTCATGCCGGGAACCTGGGAGAGGATGGAATGAATCATACGGAGGAATGAATTAACGGAGGAATCAATCAACGGAGGAATCAATCAACGGAGGAATTAATCATACGGAATCATACGGAATCATACGGAATCATACGGAATCATACGGAATCATACGGAATCATACGGAATCATACGGAATCATACGGAATCATACGGAATCATACGGAATCATACGGAATCATACGGAATCATACGGAATCAATCATATGGAATCATACGAAATCATACGGAATTAATCAACGGAGGAATTAAATATGGAATTTTTTTACTGCGGACGCACGTCAATGTGCTTGGACATGGAAAGGATGGCTTAACCATACCAATTTTTTTTCTAATCTGAACTTTCAAATGAACCACAATCACAAACAAAGACAGTTGCATCATAAATATACTAGACGTAAGAACAAACAACCTTCGCTTCGTAGACTAGTCATACATGTTCTGTTTCTCAATTAGTTCTCTGTGCTCGTGTCTGCGTAGTCGGATCGACGACGAGGTAGATGGGTTCGGTCCGTTGAGAGTTGTGTTGTAGGTCGCACTTCTATCAAGCACTTCCAGAACCACGGTACTGTTACCCTCCCGGTACTCGCTTGTTGGTGTTCCATGGGTTCTGTAACCACCGCGTGACTTCAAGTGTTGCTTGCCTGTCGCAATATCCTTTCTCGTGACCACTCTCTCAAACATCTCCAACGAAGCCAAGGGCTGGTAGAAAGGTACTTCGTGGCCAGACTCGTAAATTCGTACAAAGCTGAACAAGTCACTTTGACGAACTTGTCCGTGAACAACGCCATCCGAAGTGGTGATGTTCACAAAGCCTGCGTGTTCGTAACCTTTGGCATTGATCTCTTCAGCGATAACTTGTCCACCAAGCCAGTTGCAGTTGAAGTCACTGTAACTCAAATTAGCACAGTCTAGTTGGTCATCTCATGACATGGAAGGACTCACGCATCTCCGAAATACAGCAAAACCTGTACTCCAGCTTCCAGCAACTTCCTCACACTCTCAATTGTTCCGGACTCACGGTCGTCATCGCCGGTGCTTCCAAAGGCATTACTCACAGTCCCGGAAGACTCTGAGAAGTTCTGGTACGCTCCAATAGCGGTTTGAACCTTGGGGCTGTTGAGGTAATCGACGTAGAACTCATATGGGAACGGATCGGGTGTCAACTCTCGCATGTCATACTCATCGCGCCCAGAGTAAATGCCAAATAACGACTCAACCTTCGAAGCACAGAAGTTGTCTGCCGCAGAGCAAATGTCATTACGACCGGTCGCATAACATTCTAGAGTCTGATCAACGCAGTTTCCTTCTCCATAAAGGTTGTTGTACCATTCAGCCTGGACAGACTCGTTGTATGGGTTGAAGTCGTATGTGTTTCCAGGGAAAATGGAGAAATTGTAGTAGGCCTGGTATTGAATCAGGGGATCAAACCAGCCATTTCCAATCAGGACGTTCTCAAGATCAATCTTGATCGATCCGTGAGGTTTCTTGGCGTTCTGTTCAATGAAGTATTCTGCTCTAAAGTCAGTGCTTGTTGCATTCAAGAGCGTTTGGGGTCTTTACCGTTGAAAACTGGGCCGTAGTGTCCTCCATAACTCTCGGTCGCGAAGTTAAAGCCATTTCGCGAGTACTGTGGGAAAGCTCCCATGAATCCTTGTAGTGTCTTCCACATATTCGGAGCCGCATTTGCAGTTGTATTGGGGACCAGGGCAACGTCCGGTTTGGAGTATGTGCCGCATGTCCCAAGCTCCTGGGCGTAGTCAGGGCACTCCTCGCTGGGCAACTGGATGATATTGCCATCGCTATCCTCGTAGGCTGGAATGGGGGCTGTGTAGGATAATCCAACTGTGGCAGGCTGGTCCACGAAGAGCTAGGGAGAGTTGAGTTGGAGTGACAGCAAACAAAGGAATGCAAACTTACCATATTGCTGACATTACTCCACGAATACGGGTTGTTAAATACATTACCGTCTGGATCAACTCCGCAAGGCCCTAATTCCTGGAATAGTCCAATCATCGAAGATGATCCTGGGCCTCCATTGATCCAGACTGTAAGTGGTGCCTTATTGAATGTCAGTCCATTTTGTAGTTGTAGATTCTCGAATGTCAGAGGGGACATACATCTTTAGGATCTCCGTTTCTCGCCTCAAAGAACCACCTACGCTAGTTAGTCGTTCCCTAAGCCCATCTCTTTCGGGAATACTCACCAGAAAATGTGCTCCTCTTTACCAACATCAGCGTAACCAGAATAACTCTTCACATTAGGATCTTGTTCACAGATTCCAGCAGGCACTTCTTTGTATCGCACATCGATCCCAGCATGTCCTTTCTTAGTGATCAAGTCACCAGGCGCATGCACAAATTGTGCCGCGGCAGAATGCGCCAGCACTGCCAACAAAATCTTGGTGTACAGCACCATTTTCAATTGAGATCCTCAATTCAACTGGAGGTTCAAGTCATATCTTTATATCGTTCATTCCAGATAACCCCGCTCGGCTGAGGATATCCACTTTATATTGCTCGAATCGAACTGGAAGACCAAAAACTACTAAGATCGCCCAACTTGGTCTTTTCGGTCTAACCCCCCGACGGATCTCCGACTGGGATGTCCCCTGAGGCCCGGAACTGACCGAATTGTACGAATTGCTTATCAGGCACTTGATCTGTGTGTTGCGAATCGGAAACCGATTTTTGGCACTTCTGGCACTTCTGGCACTTGTGACACATTTGGCACTTGTTCTTCGAGCCCCTTGCCTCGATCTACGGCACAATCTCTACCTTCTATCTTGTCCCTGCATGGTCGGAAACTGTATGTGTCATTATTCTTTATACATATGAACGTCGGCTCAGCTATTATAAAGTCTATTAAACAAAAAAAAAAAAAACCAAGGGGACCTGTTCTAAAATTAAATCCTCTTGAGTGGCAGCCCAGGGCCCTTGCCATCATCAACCTTCACAAAGTACCAGACGTGCGCCTCAAAGTCCGTCAGCAACGGCAGGCCAGTTCCGGTGTTTCCATCAAAAGAGACATCTCCGTCAATAACCTTGATATCAGAAGTGCTAACAGTGGCATTGTTAGGCGAGGTGATCCAATATTCAGGGCTGACGTGAACATAGCCCATAGACAACAAGGGCAGCTTGGGGACAGGATCCTTGGTGTGAGTGAAGCGGTAGTTGTTGCCCTGCGCCGTGATATACTTGGCCAAAGCCGCGTTGGCCACGCGAGGCGAGGCATAGGCGTACAACTTAGCCGATGGGTAGCCCTTGCCCCGGAGATCAGCGGCAGCAAGCGTTGCGATGGCAGCACCCAGGCTGTGGCCCACTACGACCACCTCGTAGTCGGGGTTCTGTGCAACGACTTCCTTCAGTTCTTTGATGATGTCGTCACGGACTAGCTTCCAGGAGCTCCAGAAGCCAAGCTCGGCCAGACACCCATCACAGAGACCAGGGTTTGTGTGTACGAATGTGACATCAGCGACCCAGTTGCGCACAGAGTAAGACCCACGGAAGGCGAGAACAATCGCCGAGTTGGTGTGGTCGACTGCAATGTAGCCGGCAGTATCTGTGATAGTGGAGCTGTGCGTGGGTAAGTATATTGTCTGGGTTATTTTATGGTGGGATTCACTTACTCGGAGAAGTCATAGGATACAGTCGCACCGATTGCCTCCACTTCGGGGCAGTTGCCCTTTGAACAACTGAGCTTGTCGCCCACTTCAGCAGTGTAGGCCACTTCATAGTATGACGCGGCGGCATACTGGACCCAGAATTCGAACTGGTCCAGTTCGCTGGTTGAAACATCTAACCATGTGTGAGTAATGTGGTCAGGTTACACTAGGCAACCTTGTGTGATATACCTCGGGACTGCAGCTTGCCGGGGAGGGCATGGCCCAACGAAGCCACTGCGGATAGAGCTGTGAAGAAAGAGAGACGCATGATGGCTGAGGGTCAATGACAGAAGCTGATTGAGACTGGAGACATCACTGGGCCGGGGGAAATCCCTAGCTTTATATGATCGATTGCACCCCACGGTTCTATTCAGGTACGATGTAAGGTCCCTGGATCGGCTCCACAACTGCGTCAGCCCATTTTTTTCCTTCTTTTTTGCGTCGGAGGACCCACGGCGTAAAATGAAAACCTATAGTACTTACGGAGTACTCCGTACTATGATGAGGGATATCGACACAGTTCAGCCCACGGGGGATACTCCGAATTCATATAATGATCGTCAAAGTAGTATACAACATAGATCACATCCGGGGGATGTGGTGCCGAGAAACGAAGAGCGCTCCAATCGTCTTGGCTATCAGCTCCAACGTACAGGGCATTGGTGGAGCTGAGGTATTGTCTCATTCCGGTCAACCCGGTAACTTTGGGAGTCAGCCAATATCGAACCCGAGGTCGCGTGGACTCCGAGTACGGAGTTTATTGTACTCCGCGTAATGATAGACATGTGGCTTGTGTATGTTGTAGTCACATGAAAATATCCTGCCGGAAGCTTGACCTACTCGGCCCGAACTTGGCAAAGAAATATTGTGTGATCGTTCCAAGGTTGGTTGCCAAGTACGTAACCCTCCTCCCGTATACCCGGGGAGTCTTCTTGGCAAGAACTAGGGACTGTGCACGGAGTACATAGGGCTCCTGCTAGAACGCATAGGGTTAGGGCTTCTTGGCATTTCCCTGCTCGCGTGACTACTCTTGGCGGTCCTGGACGGCAGAATTCAACAACCCTATTTTCAATCTTTTGCCTCACATTCAGGTGTCTGTCTAACTAGCAATCGTAGTACACCCAGTCTTGTGTTGTCATAATTAACAACTTTGATTCAACTCTGGCTTCTGGATTTCACATTAAACAGCCATCCTTGATGCTAGAGTGCAGATCGCTCATCCCCACTCGCACCCGGCGATAGCCAGTGCGGTGGGTCTTCTTGGCAGAATTTTCCTTCGTTTTCAGGCTTTCCACGCTGGGAGACCCGGCCTGCGCATAGCTGATAGGAGTGGGTTTGGTGGATGCTGTAGTAGGTTCAAGGGCATAAACTTCAACCATCCATTCATACCAGACCTTGCGGTCGTCGGTTTGACGGTACATCGTGGCAACGATCTCGCCGTTTTCGGGAACACTAAGAGGGGTCTGGAGACAAATGTCAGTATGATGGAAGGGAAAAGACACGATAAAAGTAGGTAGATATTTCCGGAAACTAACCTTCAAGGGGAAGTAAATGGGGAACCAGCTGATCATGCTTGCGCTCTTGGCATCCATGGTTACTGGGTTGGTAGACAACTCCACATCACCGTAAAGCACCGTTTCAAAGTAGCCGGCCAACCCGTGGCACACGCCTCTGTTCTGGGAAGGGAAGGCCAGACGTGTTTGACGCACATTGTGAGCGTTCGAGATAGTCGACTGCATGGGGGACTGAGGAGGAATGTGTCGGTTCGGGTGAGAGAAAGACCATGCGGTCTGCACAAAGGGAGGAGGGAATTCAGTAGTAGAAAATGATGCCGACGGGGTGGATGCCCGGTTTCCATTGTTGAGGGTGGAGCTTTCACCACTGGCAGGCGTATCCATTGTGGAGAGGAAGTCAATAGCATGAAGCATCACGACGTATGGGGTCTCCGGGGCGGCCGGGTTGGACACCGTTTGGTGCACAATATCGGCGTGCAGTTTGGGAGCGGAAACCGGAGTGAAATGTGCCGAATATGAGGCTGGAATGGAAATGCCGTGGACAGGGTTTATCACGTCGTTCACACCATCCAGACATTCTGGGGAAAGCTCATTGTCCGCGAAGGAGCCTAATAGCTCCGAGACAATGATATCAACATGGGTGTGGCGCATAGCCGAACCTTGGGTTTCAAAATTCTCAGATGGCCCATTCTGGCCCTTCTGCGAGTCGAGTAACGAGCTCTCAATGCCCAGGGATTCGCCCACATGGCCTGTGGCAGCTGTAGTCGGCTGCTGTCGGACCAGAGGTCCTTTCCAGCTTCGCATGTCTGACTGGACCAAAGTGACCTTACCATCCCAGATTGTGTCGTTGTGTCGCTGTAACAACACAAATGCGTTCTGGTTCTTCTCCACGGCCCAGAGATCAATCTCCACTCCAGCGTCTGCGCTGGCCTTCAATGCGCGAGTGACCAGCGGGCCACGGCCAGCTCCCACAACCGCGAGAATGACTTTCCCGTCCGGGTGGGACGTGGCCTTCTTCTGATCGGCCCAGTCTCTCAATGCCTTGCAGATCGCCTTCTCATACCACTCATATTTGATGGGGTCCTTTTCAAATACTTCATATGTAATACTCTCCAGATTAACTGTTAGGGGCTGTAGAGGTGCTTGCAAATAGTCCTGGTAGCCCACACCGAACCTCTCAATCGCTGTCCGCGGGGGCTGGCGCTGCTGCAGGTTGCGGATATATGAGAGGTGTGGAGTGGGGTCGAAGTGCTTCTTGCCAGCCTGCGACAGACTTGGGTAGTCAGACCCAGATAGCGAGGCCTGGTTGGTATCAGGGTCTTCGGTATTTTCAAGTCCAGGAATAGGACCAACGCCACATAGTATAATCCATGGCGCAGTTCGAAGACGCATCATCTTCGCAATCAAGCCTTGGTGGGATTTGGACAAGACTGGGTATCCTTTCTGATTCTTGAGGAATGTCGAGCCATCAATCATTAGCAAACGCACTGGTTCCGAATGCCACCGGGATTGCACAAACAGAGACGGCAGCTGCTTCGGTAGAGAAAGGGCTGTGCTTTAGATTAGCTTTGGGGCCATTGAAAGGATGGGCTAGCTCATACCAACGAACAGTCTTGTGTGGTATTTGCAAGACTTTCTAATTGAATCCCAAGCATCCCAGCTTCCAAACGGATCAACCTTGAGTCGCTCTCCCTCATCTGGCGCCAGGTATTCTGCCCGAGCAAGCGGGGCCAAGTCGCCCATGGTATCAACTTCAACCTCCGGGTTGTCAACCATCTGCTGCCAAATGTTGAATTGGATGTAGGGACCAAGATTTAAGGCATCTTGAATTGCGCGGGCATAGTATATGACACCCTCAGAGTGCAAGGTACCGTGGTGCAACTTGGGGCCAGGAATCAAAAGATATCCAATTCCGCAAAACGCAGCGTAGGCAACTTCCAACATCAGAACTTGCCGGGACAAGTCCGCAATCAACGGGTCGGGTGAGCATAAATCAATCCAGCTACTGGTCACACCGACCAATTGACTGGTTGCATCATTCGGGGTGAGATACGAATCTGCCTTCGAGAGCGGCGGAACCACCATAAGCCTGGTGTTCTGGGTAGTAGCCATGGTTCCAACAGCATCATAAGTTGGGGACTCCAGATTGGCCAAGTAAGACGACAATAGGCCAAGAACCCGTGAGTGGAAATGAGAAGTCGTGATGGGGACAGTCATCATATCATACTATCAAATCAAATTAGCATTTATGAAGGTAATGTTACAGTCGGGAGAAAGAACGAACATTACTCTCATGTACGTTTTGGATGACCCGAGGCGTCACAGTGACCAGTCGGTTGTGCTCATGGTGCCCAACGCAGAAAGCTGGCCCTGGATCCTCTGAAGGATTATAGCTCTCCATGTTGACTGGGAGGTCTGGCGCAATGGTGGGGGTAGTCTGGAACTAGGGATATAGATAAAAGCTCGTTACGAGCAATGGAGGAGTTAATAAACTTGATATCTGGCAGTCCTATCCGAAGAAGCCACGTTCATCAGACGAACTGGCACACAGAAGTCCAGACAAAAACACACAGAGCATCAACAAGCTCGAAGATTATCGATCCCTTTGTGGAGAGCGGCAGAATAGACTGGCGGTGAGTCTGATAGGCAGCTGTGGCGCTCGGCCGACCTACCTATCTCATAATTTTTTTCTTCGGTATCTCAGCTTCTTCTCTCCGCCGAGTTTGCCCTTCAACACTCTCTCCCCTCTCACCTCCACCATGGCTGGTAATCGATCTGACTCCGAAGGTGGTGCGCGAGCGAAGCGCCAGAAGATGGACGCTGGGGACCCAAAGAACAACCCCTACCTCGCGCACATGTACGAGAACAACAATGGCTCCGACAACTCGGCCCTGGCCAAGTTCAAGCGACACCAGACAACTGCAGCGCTGGCGAAAAAGGCCGAAGATGGCGATATCAACCCTTTCACTGGCCGACCTTTTTCCAGCAAATACTTCTCAATCCTGAAGACCCGTCGCGATCTGCCCGTCCACACGCAACGGTGAGTGCTGCCCGACAGCCATTCTGGGAGAAAGATTATTTACTGACCACTTTATTCAGTGATGAGTTCCTACAACTCTACCAACAGTCCCAGATTCTTGTTTTCGTTGGTGAGACTGGTTCCGGAAAGACTACGCAGATCCCGCAATTCGTCCTCTACGATGACCTCCCCCAAACTCAGGGCAAAATGGTCGCTTGTACACAGCCTCGACGAGTGGCTGCCATGTCCGTCGCCCAACGTGTGGCGGCTGAGATGGATGTTAAGCTTGGAGAGGAAGTTGGTTACAGCATCCGTTTCGAAGATATGACCGGCCCGAAAACCATCATGAAGTACATGACTGATGGTATGCTTCTTCGCGAGGCTATGAACGATCCTAATCTGTCCCGTTACAGCACAATCATGCTTGACGAGGCTCACGAGAGAACTATGGCAACAGATATCCTGATGGGTCTCTTGAAGGAAGTTGTGGTGCGTCGGCCTGACTTGAAGATTATTATCATGTCGGCTACTCTAGATGCGCAAAAGTTCCAGCGCTACTTCATGGATGCACCCCTTCTCGCAGTCCCCGGTCGTACCCACCCTGTCGAGATCTTCTACACCCCCGAACCCGAGCAAGATTACGTTGAGGCCGCAGTTCGGACAGTGCTTCAAATCCACGCCACCGAAGGTGAGGGAGATATTCTTCTGTTCTTGACTGGTGAGGAAGAGATTGAG